GAACCCCAGCACCATTGTTCCCCCCTCCCCCGCCCCAACCCACTAGACCGGGGTGGACAACCTTTTTGGCTTGAGGGTCACATCTGGGTATGCCAATTGTATGGCGGGCCATGAATGCTCACAAAATTGGGGGTTGGGGTGCAGGATGGGATGAGGGCTCTAGCTGGGGGTGCGGGCTCTGGGGTGGGGCCAGAAATGAGGAATTCAGTGTGCGGGAGGGGGCTCCAGCCTAGGGTAGGAGGTTAGGGTGCAGAGGGGTGAGGGCTCCAGCTGGGGATGTGGGCTGTGGGGTGGGGTTGGGAATGAGGGGTTTGGGATGCAGGAGGGTGCTCTGGGCTGGAATCAAGGGGTTTGGAGGGTGTGAGGGGGACCAGGGCTGGGGCAGGGGTTTGGGGTGAAGGGGAAGGTTCAGGGATGCAGTCTCCGGGCAGAGCTTACCTCAAGCAGCTCCTGGAAGCAGTGGCATGTCCCCTCTCCGGCTCCTGAGTGGAGGCACGACCAGGTGACTCTGCACGCTGCCACGTCTGCAGGTGCCGGCCCTGCAGCTCCCATTGGCCACGGTTCTCAGCCAATGGGAGCTGCAGGGGCAGCATTTGGGGTGGGGGCATCAGGTGGAGCCCCCTGGCTGCCCCTTCATGTAGAAGCTGGAGGAGGGACACGCTGCTGCTTCTGGGAGCCATGCAGAGCCACGGCACACACAGAGTGGGGCAACGCCCCCCGACCCCACTCCCAGGCAGGAGCTTGAGGGTTGGATTAAAAGGTCTGACAGGCTGGGTGCAGTGATAAAACCCAGGAGTCCTGGCTCCCAGCTCCCCTGCTCTAACCACTAGACCCCACTCCCCTCCCATAGCCAGGGATAGAACCCAGGAGTCCTAGTCCCCATCCCCCCTGCTGTAACCAGTAGACCCCACTTCCCATGACAAAAGTGCATCTGCTCACACTGAGCTGGGGCAGATTTCACCTCAGCCGAGGTAGGTTTCCCATCAGTTCTGCTGCAAATCAAGCCAAGCTGAAATTTAAGGTCACTTCGCTTTTCTCCGAATCTCCACACACCCCCCCTCCAGAAACCAGGCTCTAAATCAGGGGCTCTCCCAACACATGTTTGGGTGGCCTCAGAGTGCACCACCTCTCGCTAGTGGCCGCTCTCACACTTTTTCCTAAAATACTTGATTAACTTTAGGAAAAATAAATAAATACGTCCCTGATTGCACCTGTAATAAATACGTCCCGTCTCTGCACCTGCAAGCTCTGTGTTAGACCATGTTCCTGTCATTTAATAAACCTCTGTTTTACTGGCTGGCTGAGAGTCACCTCTGACTGTGAAGTTGGGGGGCAGGACCCTCTGGCTTCCCCAGGACCCCACCTGAGCGGACTCGCAGTGGGAAGCGCACGGAGGGGCAGAGGATGCTGAATGCTCCAAGGTCAGACCCAGGAAGGTGGAAGCCGTGTGAGCTGTGTGTCCTGAAGACAGGCTGCTCACAGAAAGGAGACTCCCCAGAGTCCTGCCTGGCTTCGTAGGGAGCAGTTCCAGAGCATCGCCCGGGGACTCCATGACAGACTTGTTTTGAGAGGCAAGAGTCTGGCATCTGCACACAATGTCCAGCCCAGCGGAGTTGGTGCATGAGGATCAGTGCTTCAGTGCTGGTGACATTGGCTTTAGTGTGACGATCTTGCCACTCGATGCGAAGGATCTTCCAGACGCATCGTTGCTGGTACCCCTCCAAACTCTGGAGGTGCTGTCAATAGGTCATCCAGGTTTCACCTCCATAGAGGAGCGTAAGAAGAACAAGTGCCTTCTAGACCTGGATCTTGGTGTCCTGCTGCAGGTCACGGTCCGTGAAAACACGCTGGAGCAATTTCCCAAAGGAAGCGCTCGCCTGCTGGATCCGGGGCTGGATCTCACGGTTGATCTTTTGCGTGTTGAGAAAGTGGGCGACCGAGGTAGCGAAAGTGCTTGACTGTCTCCAGAGTCTGACCCTCGATGGCGATTTGGGGTGGGTCACGTGCTAGGCGTGAAGCAGGTTTGCTGGAGCACTTTGGTCTTCTCAGTCGTGAGGGAGAGTCGTAGGCTTGTGCGAGAAAATCCAGTGTGGGCGGAAGGTCATTCTCAGCACGCGCTAGGATGACACAATCATCAGCGTCCTGAAGATCAGTCATGGACGCCGTGAAGACTTTAGACTTTGAGCGGAAGAGCCGCCCATCCATTCCGTATTGAATGTCAATTCAATTAAAGAGCCGCCCATCCATTCCGTATTGAATGTCTTCTCCATTGAGGGGGTGGGTGATCTTTAACGAGGACCATCTACTGCTAAGTAGATGGAAAACAGGGTTGGGGCAACAACACATCCTTCTTGACCCCAGTTTTGATGACGAAAGGCCATTACAGAGAGCCGTGGCAGGCATCTGCTCATGGAGAAGCCTTAGGACCTTAATAAATATTGGAGGGCAGCCAAATCTGGCCAGAAGCTTCCACAGGGCTTCGCGATTGACAGAGTCAAAGGCCTTTGTCAAATCCATGAAAGCCATGGGCAGGTGCGGTTTCCCTTCCTGAGATTTTTCCTGGATTTGGCGGACAATGAAGATCATGTCCTTTGTCCTGTGGGATGGTCTAAAACCGCACTGAGATTCTGGCAATATTTCCTCAGCAAGGGAAGTAATCGGTTTAAGAGGATACGGGCAAGAATTTTCCCTGCTGTAGCTAGCAAGGCAGTGCCTTGAGAGTCTAACTGCATCCAACAGCTGGAAGTTGAAGCTAGACCCATTCAGACTGGAAATAAGGGGTCAATTTCTAACTGGGAGGCGAATTAACCACTGGATCCAGGTACCAAAGCGCCTGGTCAATTCCCCATCCCTGGCACTTGTTAAATCAAGGTTGGCTGTTTTCCTGAAGATCTGCTGGAGTTCAGAGGGGGATTCATTCAGGACAGAGCTATGGTCTGGGTTAGACAGGAGATCTGACAGATCAGAAGAACATAAGAACGGCCAGACTGGGTCAGACCAAAGGTCCGTGTAGCCCAGTATCCTGTCTCCCCACAGTGGCCAATGCCAGGTGTCCCAGAGGGAATGAACAGAACAGGTTATCATCAAATGAGCCATCCCCTGTCGCTCATTCCCAGCATCGGGCAAACAGAGGCCAGGGACACCATCCCTGTCCATCCTGGCTAATAGCCGTTGATGGACCTATCCTCCATGAACTTATTAAGTTTTCTTTTGAACCCTGTTATGGTCTTGGCCTTCACAACATCCTCTGGCAAGGAGTTCCACAGGTTGACGGTGCTTTGTGTGGGCACTGATGGGATGTGGGGGGCAGCGGGTGACATCCCACCCTCCCCACACATGCACTGCCTGGCTGGGCTTGGCAGGAGCCAACACACCCCGGGGATGGGCTCACTGCACAGCAGACAGGCCGGGGAAGAGATACCTGTGGGAGTGTACGGGGGGTCCCATAGGGCTGCTGCGTGGCTCAGGGGGGCAGTTCACCCACCCGGGTCCCCCCTTCACTGGTGAAACTGAGGCTCAGCCCCCCGGGGCAGCAGGACGCAGCCTCCCCTGAGGGGTCCAGCCCCGGGGAGGCCCCAGAGCCACGGCACCTGGGAGACCCCCAGAGGGGCCTGGGCTGGACCTGCCGGATGGGGGGGTTGGGGACTCCGCTCCCAGGGCAGAGCCAGCTGCTGATCTCCCCGTCCGAGCCGCCGAGTGACTCTCCCCCTCCCCCTGCAGCAGCCCCCCCGGGGCGCCCGGATTTCACCCACGCCAGCAACACCCGTCTGGTGCTGAGTGCCGTGGTCCTGCTCATCCTGGGGCTGATCCTGGCCGAGGCCTATCACAGCCGCCTGAGGGGGGTGCCCTAGGGGAGGTGACCCCCCCTTCTGTGCTCCTTGATCCCCCTAGGGGCTGGGCCCAGGGCGACGCGAGCCCCTCTAACCCGCCATCTCTCTGCACCCCCAGGAGCCTGGATCCGGCCATGCAGGGAAGAGACTCTCTCAATGCACGAGCCTCACATGGTGCCATGGCTCGTGTCTCACGTGGGCAGGTTGGCAGACTGAGAGGGAAGGCTTCAGAGTCAAACCCTCCAGCACCAGGAAATGCCAGTTACGGTTTCGTGAACACCCTTAGCTCTGCCCCCTTGAGCACATGCATTATGACGCCAGCCTTTAATTGCATGACCACGTATTAATTTTACCTACATGGGTCTCCAGCTGCTTGAACCCAGAATGTAATAATGGGGGACGGGAGGGATCTGTGGTGGAAGATTGAAGACCAGACCCCGTGGTCTCCTGGATCCCAGCCCAGTGCACCTTCCCCAAGGCTGCAGGGTACATTGAGTGTCACCTGTCCCCACTCCCCACAGAGACAAGGACAAGCTGTGAATTACGTGACACTTGACCAGGCTGAGAGCCCCAGGATTTCCTGGGCGTTGCAGGGACCGCTGCTTATTTTGGCTCCAGTAGATTTAGCTGGCAGATTAGAGACAACGTGGGAGGGATGCAGGAAGAGATGAGCCATCCCCGGCTTCCTGTAGAGTTCTTCATTTGGGGCTCGGTGGAGCTGGGCACTGGGGTGTTGGTGGCAGAGCTGAGGGGCCCCTCCCTGCCCCTGTCATGGCATCTGCTCTCACCGTCCTCCTTCTTGGTGAGTATCGGAGACAGCCAGGGTGTGTGTCCATGGGGGGGATCTGAGACCAGGGTGTTGGGGGGAGGGATCTGAGACCAGGGCATACGCCCATGGGGTGGGGGCCTGAGACCAGGGCCTGCACCCATGGCAGGGATCTGAGACCAGGAGCATGTCCATATGGGGGAATGTGAGACCAGAGCATGTGCCCATTGCGGGAGGTGTCTGAGACCAGGGCGTTTGTCCATGGCGGGAATCTGAGACCAGGGCATATGCCCATTGGGGCAGGGGGATCTGAGACCAGGGCGTGTCTCCAGGGGGGTGGGATCTGAGACCAGGGCATGTGTCCATGGGGGGTAGGATCTGAGACCAGGGCGCGGGGGGGAGGAGATCTGAGACAAGGGCATGTGCCCATGGGGTGGGGGCCTGAGACCAGGGCCTGCACCCATGGCAGGGATCTGAGACCAGGAGCATGTCCATATGGGGGAATGTGAGACCAGAGCATGTGCCCATTGCGGGAGGTGTCTGAGACCAGGGCGTGTTCCCATGGTAGGGATCTGAGACCAGGGTGTGAGTCCATGGGGGGGATCTGAGACGAGGGTGTGTGCCCATGGGGGTGGGGGTCTGAGACCAGGGCGTGTTCCCATGAGGGGGGAGACCTGAGACCAGGTCATGTGTCCATGATGCGGGAGGGGGATCTGAGACCAGGGTGTAGGATCCAGGTGCCCTGGGATCTGGTCCCTAATGACCTGTCTTCCTCTCCAGGCTGCTGGCTGGCCGGGCAGATCGGGATATCGGGACGTGAGTATCTGTGGGGCTGGGGAAACTTTAGTGTTAAGTATGGGAGTTGGGGAGGGAGTGGGGGAGCGATAAAGAGGATCTGAGCCCTGAATCTTCATCCCAAAACTCACTCCGGTTATTAACCCCATGGGGACTGTCCCGAGTGCACTCAGGGGTGACTCCGGATTGACCCGCGGGGGCTGAGATTAGAACTCAGCCCACAGGTTCCCTGTGGATGCAGTGAGGTCTCTGTTACCCCTGGGGCTGTCCCTGGGGCTGGCGCGAAGGGCAGGTTACAGACACACGGGGAGGGGTTTGGGTCTCCCCATCTCACTCCTCTTTGTGTGTGAACGCAGCATTCCTTTGGTCCAGACCCTCCATCTCCGTCTGCCCCAGCGGGGTGATCGCCCCGGGGGCAGTCGTCACCATCCACTGTCAGTGTTGGTGTTGGGGCAGGAGGTTATTTCTGGATAAAGATGGAATCGAAATCTGGGACCTGTCTGCCGATGGGGACGAATTCACCATCCCCAGCGCCAGGTGGGAAGATGCAGGGGCCTACAGCTGCCGATCCCATGCCATGTGGGAGCCGCCCAACTGGTCGTATGCCAGTGACATCGTGCGGATCATGGTTGCAGGTGAGGGGCCCGGCTCGGCGACCCTGCTCCCAGCCCCACACCCAATCAGACCCTCGGTGAGTGTCCACCATGATGGGACGTTCAGAGCCAGGCTTTGCCCTGAGCCCTGGGCCCAGCAGAGGGAGATGCCCAGAGATGCCCAGAGATGCAGCAGCTACTGTTGGCTGCTGTGTAGTCATCCTAGGAGAGATACTGGCTAGATGGGCCCATGGGAGGGTCGGGGATGGGGAGGGGGGACACTGGGGTGGGGGGCCCATTAAGTAGATAGACGGGTACAGAGGGGTGCTCTGGGTTTAGATCCTAGGGAAGTTTCAGGTGTAGCTCCCAGGAATCTCTGGGATCTTGGAGAGGTTCCTCTGGCTGGGTTTTCCCCCAGGAGCCCCATCTCTGGGACCATGCAGGGAGGACGGGGCGCAGTGACTGTGCCGGGGTCTGTCTCACGGCCTGTCTCCTTCTCTCTGCAGAGACCTACTACCCCAAACCCGCCATCTCTCTGCGCCCCAGCGTGGGGGTCGCCCTGGGGGGAGCCGTGACCATCCAGTGTCGGGGTTGGCACCAGAACGTGAGGTTCCTTCTGTACAAAGTTGGAAACCCGAACACGCTACAGGGCGTGGAGCCGGCTGGGGACATGGCCGAGTTTTCCATTCGCAACGTGAGCCGGAGAGACGCAGGGACCTACAGCTGCCGATATTGCACCAAATCAGACCCATCCGTCTGGTCGGAGCCCAGTGACCCCGTGGAGCTGGTGGTAGCAGGTGAGGGGCCCGACTCAGCATCCCCGCTCCCAGCCCCACACCCAGCCAGACCCTCAGGGAGTCTTGCCCTGGTGAGATGCTCAGAGCCTGTCTCTGCATTGGGCCCAGCAGAGGCCTGGCCGGGGAGTGGGGACAGAGTCACTGGGGGTTTCCCCAGCCCGGGGAGAGCAGCAGCCACTGGAGATTCGGGGCTGAGGGAGGGGGGATCCCTGCCCCCAGGGAAAGCTGCAGAGCAGGGGGCCTTTCCTAGGGGATGCTCCCCCCGGCTGGCCACGCTCTGGGGATGCACAGACAAGTCGGGGCCCAGGGGATGTCCAGCCAGCACCGTCCCCAGTACTGAATTCACTTCCCACCAGCCTGGACAACTGTACACTCCTGGCGGAATTCTGCACCAAAAAATTAAAAATTCTGCACACAATATTTGAAAATCCACTGAAATGCTGCATATTTGATTTGTCAAAATAACACAATATAATCCTGCCAGTTTCAATTATTTTGGTCAGTTATTTCAAAAGAGCTGTCAGCGAGTGTGTCTGTAACAACACAGACCGAAAAAAAAAAAGGATTCTGGTAATTGTTTTTGACAAATAGTGTCCTCACTAGCCACATTAACACAGAACTTTGAGTTATTCATTTCAATCACACGACAGAACTGTATTTCCTGCACCTGCCAGAAGCCGTGCAAAGGCTTGGGGGAGTCAGGGGTAATGGCGGAGCTGAGGGAGAGGGAAGGAGCCTAGGAGTGAAGCTGGAAGGGGTTGGGTGTGGGTGGGAGAAGGTTTGGTTTTTTTAGGGGGGTGGGGATTGTTAGGGAGCTGGGAAGCCTCCCCCATGCAGACCCTGGCTGGCCTCAAGCCTCTCCCATTCAGTCAGGCACCTCAGCCCCTGTCCCCGCAACCCCCGTCCCCATGTGTCCCTGCAGCCCCCTCCCCCATCCCCAGACTCAACGCTGTCACCGCACTAGCTCCTGAGCCCCAGTCTGTGACCCCCCCAGCAGCCCTGGGTGCCCCTATCTGCCCTAACCTGGCTCTGCGGGCAGGTGCTGTGATGAACTTCTCCTCCTGGGGGGTCTGCAGCCCCGGGCAGGCAGAGAATATTTTTTCCCCACAGAAAATACATTCTGCCCCAGAAGTGCTGCAGTTCCGCCTCTGCCCACCAGGGGCCGCTGTGGCGCCAGAACAGCGGGCTGTGTTCATGCTGCTGGCAGCTCCGGCGACACAGCGGCCTCTGGTGGGCAAAGGGCGGAACTGCAGCACGTCTGGGGCAGACTGTATTTTCTGCGGGGAAAAAACAAAATTATGCGGAGACGGATGAATTCTGCACATCCTAGGGTTGCCAACCCTCCAGGATTGGCCTGGAGTTTGCCGGAATTAAAGATTAACCTTTAATTCAAGATTAAGTCATGTGATGAAATCTCCAGGAACACAGCCAACCAAAACTGGCAACCCTAGCATGTCCACAGATGCACAGAATTGCCCTGGGAAAAACAGACTGTCGATGCAGTGAGGTGTCTGTTACCCCTGGCGCTGTCCCTGGGGCTGGGCGCTAAGGGCAGGTTATAGACACACAGGGCGGGGTTTGTGTCTCCCCATCTCACTCCTGTTTGTGTGTGAATGCAGAGCTCCCTGCGCCCAGACCCTCCATCTCCGTCAGCCCCAGAGGGGTGATTGCCCTGGGGCAAGCCGTCACCATCCACTGTCAGTGTCGGTGCAAGGCCAGGAGGTTATTGCTGTGTAAAGATGGAGTCCAAATCCGGAAGCTGGATGTTGCTGGGGACGGGGGTGAATTCACCATCCCCAGTGCCAGGTGGGAAGACTCAGGGGTCTACAGCTGCCGATCTCGCTCCAGATCGGGGCCACCCAACTGGTCGGATCCCAGTGATTACGTGCAGATTGTTGTAGCAGGTGAGAGATCTGGCTTGGCATCCCCACTCCCAGACCCACACCCAGCCAGACCCCCAGGGGGTCTCTGGGCCAATGAGACCCTCAGAGCCAGGCTCTACCCTGAGCCCAGCAGAGAGGGTGCCTGGTCGGGGAGCCGGGACAGAGTCACTGGGGGGTTCCCCAGCCACTGGAGCTAGGGGGATGAGGGAGGGGGAATCCCTGCCCCCAGGGGACCTTGGGGTGTCACTGAACCTGCCTGTGCCTCCATTTACCCTTGTAAGAATGGGGGATAATTAATCTTCTTCATCTTTTGTCTTTGTCTGTGCCACATTCAGCACCTCTGACTCCCAGCCCCCTCCCGATCGAAACACTAGACCCCACTGGGGCTGGGGACAGAACCCAAGAGTCCTGGCTCCCAGACTGGGGTACAGAGGGGTGCTCTGGATTTTAGGCAGTTTTGGGCATAGCTCCCAGGAATCTCTGGGATCTCAGAGAGATTCCTTTGGCTTGGTTTTTTCCCAGGGGTCCCATCTCTGGGACCATGTGGCAAGGACGGGGCGCAGTGACTGTACCGGGGTCTGTCTCATGGCCTGTCTCCTTCTCATTGCAGAGCTCAGATACCCCAAACCCTCCATCTCCCTGCGCCCCACTGGGGGGGTCGCCCTGGGGGGAGCCGTGACCGTCCGGTGTCAGGGTTCGCACCAGAACATGAGGTTCCTTCTGCACAAAGTTGGAAACCGAACTGCGCTGCAGGACATGGAGCCGGCCGGGAACGTGGCTGAGTTTCCCATTCGCAACGTGAGCCGGAGACATGGGGGGAATTACCACTGCTATTATTACTCCAAATCAGACCTACCTGTCTGGTCGCAGCCCAGCGACCCCGTGGAGCTGGTGGTAGCAGGTGAGGGGCCTAGCTCAGTGTCCCCGCTCCCAGCCCCACACCCAGCCAGCCTCTGTGGGGGTCTCTGTGTGGATGGGAGGCTCAGAGCCAGGTTCTGCCCTGAGCCCTGGGACCCACTGTGGGGGTTTCCCAGCCAGGGGAGAGCAGCAGCTGCTGGAGGTTCAGGGCTGAGGGAGGGGGGGATCCCTGCCCCCAGGGGGAGCTGCAAAGTGGGGGAGCCTTTCCCAGAGTCGACTGCCCCTGCTCTGGGGATGCACAGAGGAGTGGGGGGCCCTGGGGCTGCCCAGCCAGCACTGGCCCCAGTGCTGAATTTGCTCCCTATCCGCCCGGACAATTAAAGCCGTAACAAAAGCCAGGTCATGGGCGGAGCAGTGTCCCTGTTTCCGCGGCTTCCCCCCCCCCCTCCTCCGGGCCTGGGTTCTCGGTTCCATCCCCCCCCATCCCAGCAGATGCTTGTTCTCATCCCACAGAGGGAACCGACCCAGCTGGGCCCCAGCAGCCGGATCCCCCCATGACGGAGCCAGAGGGAGAAGGTGAGTGGGAGAAATGGAGCAATTCACCCCCCAGGGAACAGGGCTCCCCGCTCCGATGCCCACGGGGCCAGTCGGGCTGTTTGGAGGAGGATGGTCCCTGCGGACAGAACTGATGGGTTCAATTCTTCTATATAGAGGGTGACGGCCATGGGTTGGTGGGAATATGGGTCCTTGGGAAAGACGGGTTGATGGGACCTGAAATGATGAATCCTGTGTGGTTCCCAGCCCCCACGGATGATCTCCGAGCAAGTCTGGGCTGTCGGAATTAGAGCCTGCCGGTTTGATACAGCGAGGGAAGGGGGGGGTCCCCACTCTCCAGCCACTAAAATCCCCCTCCCCCTGCCGGGACTGACGGTGATGACTGAGGCTGAGTCGGGGGTGGGGTGATCCCTAAGTTGCTGTTTCATCCCCTCCCCCTACCCCAACGGATGCTGGTTCTAGTCCCGCAGGGGGAACCGACCAGACCCAGCCAGGAGTGGAGCCGACTCCCACCCACCCAGGCAGTGTGGGGCCAGGTCCCGGGGCTGGGGGGAAATCACCATCGAACCAGCCCTGGAAACAGGCTTGCGGTGCCCGGGGGCTGGGGCTGGGGCAGTGAATCTGGGTGGGTGGGGCCCAGACACCACAGGGAGGTGCTAATTGACATGGGGGGGATGGAGAGACAGCCCCCACTGCCCCTCCCCCATTGCCAGACCCCCAGCTCCCCCAAAGCCTCCTGCCCTGCAGGTAGCTGCCAGGAAGCTGTGGGGGATCCCAGGGGCGGGGCAGAGTCTGGGGTGCTGGGCTCTGCTGAGTGCAGGGGGGCTGGGGCTATAACCCCCTTCCCTAGG